GTAGATCCACTTTATATACAAAGGGATTTCCTTTGTATATAAGTGCCTATTTTTTTTTTTTGCTTTTCGGGTCACACCTGGCGATGCTCAGGGGTTACTCCTGGCTTTGCACTCAGGAATCACTCCTGGCAGTGCTCAGGAGACCAGATGGGATGCTGGGAATCGAACCCGGGTCAGCCGCGTGCAAGGCAAACGCCCTACCCGCTATGCTATCACTCCAGCCCAAAAGTGCCTTTTTTGATCTTGCTGCATTCAGTACTCTGTCTATATCTTTGGATTTTGTCATTTTGCATCTTGGGGTTTTATGTCTTGGGGTTTTCTTAATTGAATATATTTTCACTAGGGCAATTTGGTCCTGTTAAAGTTCAGTGCCCATAATCCTCAACTCCAAGAAGTACTTATTGATGGTTTCTTTAATGTTTCTTCATCACAGGGGGAAAAGCTGGTGGTCAGTGAGCAATCTGTTTATGAGCTCTCACACAGGGGTTTTTATACATACAGTTCAGGGAGCAATCCAGATGTATCACATTTGCCTTGTCAGGCTCAATGCAGATGTTAATGATTTACGTCTCTCGCTCTCAGGGCTGGGTATATCAGCTCAGGCAGATGGCAACTATTACATCCCTCATCCCCAACCAGAGTGCTTCCATGTTTAGAGTGCCAGAGAAAGCCCCTGGGCCCCTGTAAACAGGTCCGGCCCTTTCTTTCAGGGGCAGGGGATTTAGTCAAAGTCTCAGGCCAGCTCCTGAGACCTCAACATCTCCCCCTTTTTGTTTTATGTAAGAGCCAGCTGCCAAGGCCCACCCAGCAGCCTCACGCTGGGGCCTTAGGGGTCAGGTCTATCTTAGGTTGCCTCCTCTGAGGTCTTTCTGTCTCTGGCTCTCCGACCCAGTGTCTCTCCCTGTGCTGCAGCCATATTACACTTTCTCACACTCCTATGGTTACACGCACCCAGGCCGCATCTCCTGGTCGAGGGTCTGCAAGTTTATCCACTGCATGGGTGAGCATCACCACATCCCCCAAATCAGGTTTCCATCATCTGGACAAGGCAGTTTGCAATACATGGCCCAAGTGTTACAAGCAGCAATAGTAAAATGAATGCCCTGGCCAAGGCAGACACAAGTGTGGTAAGCGCCAAAGCAACGCTCCTCCCCTAATGTGGCATACTTGCTACAACAGTAAGTCCAGTCCTAGCTCTTACAAAAGTAGTGTGATACTCCTCCACATGTCCCATAGTTTCTTGTTCCTGGGCACACATAGTTTCTTGTTCCTGGGCACACATAGTTTCTTGTTCCTTGGGCACACATAGTTTCTTTGGATCCCTACTTTAGATCCTGGACCTTGATATCCAAAGTGACATATCCCACTCATGCTCTAGATCAAATTTAATCATTGGGGACCAGGTCCCAGCCGGATGTTGTTCTGTGATTGAGATCACTAGTCTGTCGCTCCCCACTCAACTGAGTTCCCAGGTGAGGTTGTATGGCCAGTGTTCGGTGGCATCCACGGCGACCACAAGGAGTGTCATGATTCAGAGGGGACTGCCAACTAGAAATTAAACAGAAGAGATATCCTCCTCAAGGGCATCATCACACCGCAGGGTATTGTCAGGATCTACATATTTGAGGGTCCTTGCGGGCACCCAGATAGGTTGATGTTCAGAAATAGGGAGCACACACCCAAAGCCTCAACCAGAGGTAATGAGTGGATCTGGGCCCCTCCATTGCCCTGGGAAGGATCTTTCCATCGGACCAGGATATCTGGTTATACCTCCTGCTGCTGCCGCCAGTGCTGATGAAAAGGCGTGCGAGTGTCTTCTTTTGAAAAATTTAATATGTGGAGTGTGAAGAGTGCAAGTCCTAACTGCTGGTGGAATTAACTCTCCCTTTTTGCTTTGAAAGCTGGTTTTCAGAGTTTGACGGATTACATCGCTCTATAATTGCTTGGCCCTGTGGGTTGTATGGGATACTGGTAGAATTCTGGATTTTTTTCAGGAAGTTCTGAAGTGTTTTACTAATGAAGCAAGGGCCATTATCAGATTTAACTCTAGCTGGTAACCCCAACGTGGCAAAGCACTGTATGTAATGGGAGATGGTGTGCTTTGCCCTTTCACCAGTGTGTGCAGTAGCCCAGCAGGCCTTGGAGTACGTATCCCCACTCACAAAGATATATGTTGGCGTGCCAAATGGTGTATGGTGAACGCTAGGGCACGAATCTGGTCTCGATAAGGGTCCGGGATGGCAGCCTGCTGGGGCCTGTGCTCCACTGACCTGCTGTCCCTGACAGCTGCCCGTGTGTTATGGGGATGGGGGGTAGGGTAGGCAGAAGCATCGTGGTCCATCTGCGTGTGACACTCTTCCTTAAAGAAAGTGCCCCATCTTATTTTTTTTGAATTTTTTATTATTATTATTATTATTATTATTATTATTTTGCCTTTTGGGTCACACCTGGAGATGCTCATGGGTTACTCCTGGCTCTGCGCTCAGGAATCACTCCTGGCGGTGCTCAGGGGACCCTATGGGATGCTGGGAATCAAACCCGGGTCGGCCACATGCAAGGCAAATGCCTTACCCCCTGTGCTATCACTCCAGCCTAGCGCCCCACCTTATGAACTGGGTGCTGGGAAGCGCTGCCCGACAAAGGGCTCTCTAGTTTCCAGTGGGGCAGGGCTGATGGACCAGCCCCTGGAGGATGGTGTCGGCCCACGGGGAGTTGTGTCCATCCTCAGCCACTGCCTTTTTTTAACTCTTTCAAGTCCCCAGGCTCCCAAGGACACCAAACTGCAGGCCGAGCCCCTTGGATGACCAGGAAGGCCCAGAGGGGCCTCCGGTAATCCTTCTCCAGTCTTGGGTCATAAAAGGGAGCAGAAGCTTCTTCTGGAGGGGTAGTGGGGCGAGAGGATTCAGGTCTGTCTCCCCCCAAAATCTCCTCAGCGATCGGTGAAGGGTGACCCTGAAATGGCTACCCCGCTAGTACCAGGAGAGAGACACTCTTCTCCTAAAAGTGTGCCTTTAAGGCTGCCACTGCCACATACAAACCTGGCAGGGGCCCCTTGCCTGTCTTTTCAGCGCGTTCTACAATAAGCTTTGCTGCCTGACCCCAGGTGTCCCACGAGAAGAGGTCCTCAGTAGTAACCCAAGGAGCCACGTCAAGGAGAGCGCTCCAAGTCTTAGATGCCCTATCCTCAGAAAATTCTAGCCCCTTGATTTTTAGCAGACAATGTAAAGCTTTCAGGCCTGGGTGAGGCACCTTCTGAATGGAATTGCCCATGATATTTAGTGCGGTTAAGAAGGTCAGGATAGATGATGGTTCCACTAAAAGACCACCGAGGCAGAGGAAAGGACACAGAGGTTGAAAAAACACACAGCAAGAATGAGGCAAGACACCAAAAAAAAGGGATAGATGCTAGGGACCCCATTGACCAGGGGGAGGGGGGAAGAGAAGCGAAACAAAAGTGGAAACTGACCGAAACAGTCCTGTCTCAAGAAGGACTCTCTGATTGTCTACCACCAGGGAGCAGAGCTTGAGCGCCCGTTCATTCCCCTTCCTGAATTACCAGCCGGGTATCTCCGATGCAGTCACCTATTTTACTGCATAGATTCAGGGCTATCAGGGGGTCATACCTTGCTCCAGTGACATCCATGATGTCCACATCCACGCTGTCCCTGTTTGGCCAGGACCCTGACAATAGTCATGTGATTTTTTTTCAGATATACAGCATAATGATTCCATATATTCCATACTGTGAATAGTCAGTCACAATAAGATTAACAGGAGCACACAGGACCCATTCCACCTTCCCACTTCCCCACCCCGTGATGAGAACTTTTAAGATGTGCTTTAATCGCAACTTCCAAACATATCATGTGGTATTGTTAACTATAGTCAGCCAGCTGAACACTTGCACCTCACTTATCTTCATTTTATGGCAGCAAATTTATAAATTCCACACCTTTTTTTTGGTTTGTTTTTGGATCACACCCAGCTGTGCTCAAGGTTTAATTCTGCCTCTGTACTGAGGGGTTACTTCTGGTGGGGTTCAGAAGACCGTAGAGAGTGCTGAAGATTGAACCAGATTGAACCACAGTTTGTAGCTTGCAAGGCAAACATCCTATCCACTGTACTATCACCCTGGCCCCCTGAGAATTTTACTTTTAAAGAACTTATTTGAGTAGGAAGCCTACCTGAAAACCCCCCTTCTCTTGAGGTCACATGTGCCATATGCTCCTAGCTGTCAATCCTCATCCTGAGGCCTTATATAGGGTGAGCATCAATTGGGGCAGGGCATCATGAGGGATCTCTTCCAATTATGCCTTCCATGTCCTCCTGATAACCCCAGAACTCAAGGCTCATTCATCGAGCTTCCAGTCATTTCCCTAGGGTATGAGATTATGAATCTAAATATGTTTTACTGTGGATCTAGAGGTGCTGCCAAACCAGTCTTCTGATATATTCTTCTCAATGTTGTTCCACATCCTATCCCCTCTCCCTCACCTTCCAAAGTCTTCCGTGTGAGGGCTCCTGTGAGTAGAAGCTCTCACTGTATTTCAAAGGGAGATGGCTTTGCCTTCACATCCCCACAGTTCCAGGGGCTCCACAGGGTTCCTGAAAATGCTGCCCACAGGACAACTCCTTTCTGGTTTTCTTAAAGGGAGGCTGGCCAGCTCAGACCAAGCACTGGCATGTTTTTCCACTCCAGGTGTCAATCGTAGGAAAGCAGCATGTTGGGTGAGCTGAGGATCCGGCAGGGAAGAAGGGGGAAGAACGGGGACAGGGATAGGAGAAAATAGAAAGGAGGGAAAATTAGAGACAGACATAAAGAGAAGGAAAAGGGCATAGAAAATGGGAAGAGGGGGAGAAAGTGAGAGTGGAGTGTGAGGACTGTGAGTTGGGAAAGTGTGACAAGTGATTTCCCTTCTCCTGATCAGGAGAACATACCCCAGGGTTAGGTTTCCAAGAGACTGCAGACCATCTGCAACTCTGCATTTCCTTTCCCACAGGAAACCTAGAACAAGCCAACGAGGAGTTGAGGGCCATAATCAAGAAGATCTGGAAGCGAACCAGCATGAAACTGCTGGACCAAGTGGTGCCCCCTGCAGGTGGTAAGTGTCTTTGGATCTTTGTACCCTTGGTACTTCCATCCTTCATAAGAATTGCAGTCACCATCCCTGAGACTCGAATTCTTGAATCCACAATACTTTCCGGAAGCGCACATTCTTCAGATCCTTCTGGTGGCACTCAAAAGTCCTTGATAAAATAAACTAAGAGGGAGACTCTTTTCAAACTCAGAAATAGGTAGTCAGGGTGGTGCAATTCTGCAACTTACAAATGGGACCAGAGAAGGTCCCTAAATGCTCAAAGGTTTGACTGAACTTCCAAAGCAACCCTGCAAATGTTTGCAATTAAACCTGTGGGCTGAATGTGCCAGAAATTATAGAGCCTTGAAAAGAGAATCCTCCTAGAGCCCCTCTAGGTTTAAATTCTCCTTATTCTTCCTAGGGCAGTTTTGTCAAACCCTAGGAAGACCAAAGACCCTTCTTATGACAAGTAGTATTATAATGTCCCTAATGCTGTCCTCAATAAAAACCAGACATTCCCAAACATGTACAGAATGTTTTGATTCATTTAAATATTGAAAATAAATGCCAGAAGTTGTAATTAGCTGATGGAATCATTGCATTTACCCACTTAGGATGGACAGTTTGTGTTTGTGGGAAGCAAGCAATGTTGAATATTGTCAACATTTTATATTTGTCATTTTGAAATGAAGGCTGTCCAAGAACATATAACTTAATAAATAGTCACATAGATATAAACATACACATACATATTCTTAATTGCACATGTAGAGATATAGGCTAGAACACAGTCTGATGTAGGCAGGAATTTTTCAAGGATCATTGCAAAATTCCACTAGAGATATAATTTCCAAAAACTTGAAACAAAATGAAGTTAGACTTTGAGCAACTTATACAAAGATCATTCTCTGGGAGAGTTCTGAATGCACTAAAATTGCAAATCATGCCTTGTGTTTAGATAGAAAATAGATTATTATCTATATCAAAACACTTGAACAAACGGTTTGAGGCTCTTCGTGTTCCTGGAGTGAGCAGATGCCATTGGGCTATACTAGCACGCTACAGGGACAAATGGAGATATTACTGATGCCTGCTCAAGCAAATCAATGATCCATAGGATGACAAGTGATGCAAGTGATCATTAGAAGCAGGTTGCCCTCGCTACAAGAATATGTAGCATAGTATTTGAAAGCTACACATTGCGTACATAACCCTTCAGTTTCAAGACCATTTTTAACATTCTCCTGACCAGAAAAAAATATTTTCCTGACCATAGTCCTTTGTCTTCTTCCTATAACACCCCTACCTCATCTTGTAAGTTGGTCTCCTATTCTCAATTTATTCAATTTTCACTTTTGTGCCCCTTGGAATATCCTTGAGATGATATTCCATTGATCCCATTGAGAAATACTGAAGAAAGGGACACGTCTAAAACTACTGGCTATTAGCAGCACCTTCAAATCACCATGGCAGCTAGAATGACCCATGCATCCCCCAAATACTACTTGAAAGGTGAAGCCACCTTACTGAGAATGACTTGTAGGCCTGGAGCTGCACACCACGTGGTATTTGACATTCTTTTATTTGGCCATTTTCACCTTCTTCTGGAGTGTGCTCAAAGAACTGGAGTGCTTAAAAACTAGGTAGTTGTCCTGGAGATGTGTTGTGTGCACGTAGAGGATTTTGACTTAAACCCAGGCCTGAGGAACCGCAAAAAGGCAAGCTTTTGACTCCCTTTTTATTCACACAATGGGGCATGGGATTTTCTCCCAACATGGGAACAAGGGCTTTGGCAGGTAAAGCACCACATTTTCTGTGGACTTTGCTCTTATGGGACCACCCCACACCCTTAGACATAACCCAAGCCCATTACCCTGTCCTACCCAGCTGACTGGGTCATATACCTGATGGGGCTACTTATGGGACTTGGCCGTTGCCCCTAGAACTCATTGACTTTCCCATCACTAACTTATTCCCAAGACATGTTGTTTTTGTTTGTTTGTTTATTTGTCTTTTGTAATTCAGGGCTCAACACAGTCCATATGGTAAGAAAATTCTTAGAATGAATGTGTTCCCCCCACCAGTACCACCCTACCCTACCTTAAATAAAACCTTATACAAACCTTAAGCAAAAGTGGTGACACTTAGATCAAGGGGGATCTTGATTTCTAATAGGCTTTAGAATTAAATAGAAGTTAGTTAGAGTTGGTAGGTTAATGGACCCGAGCAAGAGTATAACAGGTAGGTCCTTGCAGGCCTTGCACATGGCTGACCCGGGTTCAATTCCCAACATCCCATCTGGTCCCTGAACACTGCCAGGAGTAACCCCTGAGCATTGCTGGATGTGACTCCCAAACTAAAACAACAACAAAATTTAAAAAGAAATAAATGGAAGGTTAAGTTAAAAAAAACATGGCATAAAATTGCTTGGCAATAATATATTTCTTATGCTGAAAAAAGAAAGCAAAGAAAGATAATAAAAACGTTTGTTTGAAGCACTTGCAAAGAAAAGGTCTCTGAAAAATTGCCAAAAAACCCTCTAAAGTTCTATTAGGAGGTAGTAATGAGACAGATGAAGTGAAAGACACACATTTCACTTTGCACTCTGATGTATTTCTGTCTTTTCTAACCTTGAGAATGAACTGCTTCTTCCCCCCGGCATGAAGTTCTTTAAGTTAAGCAAGTCTGGGCCTGAGCATTAGTACAGCGGGTGGGACATTTGCCTTGCTCACGGCTGATCTGACTTTGATTCTGGGCATCCCATATGGTCCTGGAAGGCGCTGCCAGGCACAGGCATCCCATATGGTACTGCCAGGAGTGATTTCTGAATGTAGAGTCAGAAGTAACCCCTGAGTACCACTAGATGTGGCTCACAAAAATAAAAAACAAAAGAAGGCTTGGATGCTGAAAAAATAATTATACCTGTTCACCTCTAATTCCTTTTCCCTATTTGTGTGTCAGACGATGAGGTCACAGTTGGCAAGTTTTATGCTACCTTCTTGATCCAAGAGTATTTCCGGAAATTCAAGAAACGCAAAGAGCAAGGTCTTGTGGGAAAGCCTTCCCAGAGGAACGCCCTATCCCTGCAGGTAAGGGATGGGGCTGGGGGGTGGGGGTGGGAGGCGCTTTTCTCTTTTCTCTAACCACTGAACAAAGGCCAAGTCTCTCCCCCAAGGGCTGGAACCCAAGTCTCTCCCCCAAGGGCTGGAACCCAGTACCCTGCAAAGGATGCTGGGTGTTGCAAGTCTTTCAAGAGAGTTGAAGGGCATCTCCCCTTCTGTTGTGTGACCCCTGTGCACTGCCCTCCGCAGTCCTATCTACTCACACCTTCATGCTCTCTGAAATTCTGACAGCCCTTCTAGATCGCCATCATACTTTCTGGGTGAACCAGTGGATTTCTCCACTCCTGGGGGCAGACTGAGATCCCCACAAATACCCTGTGAGGGATCTCCAACTTGGCAGATATGCAGAGGTGGGAGGGAGGTCATGGAGGAGCCCCCGGGTCCTTATTTGTTTCTCTGGCTTCCAGGCTGGCTTACGTACACTGCATGACATTGGGCCCGAGATCCGGCGGGCCATCTCTGGAGACCTGACAGCAGAAGAGGAGTTGGACAAGGCCATGAAGGAGGCTGTGTCTGCTGCCTCTGAAGACGACATCTTCAGGGTATGTGGGTGCCCTGTAGCACACTTTCGCCTGTGTAAAATTTAGTTAGAGGTAAGAGAATACACTGATGACCTTCCCAGGAATTTCCGGGAGAGAATTTCTGTATAGATTCTCAATTTTTCCTGCTTAGCTGTTTCCTCAGCTCTCTGTTTTCTCAAGCCCTGGTCCACCTCAGACCAGGGCTGCCCAGCCATGACAACTGGCAAAGGTCTTGGCTTTCAGGGAAGGGAAACAAAAAAAATCCATTTTCCCGAAGAAAAGATTTCTGACCAGCAACTTCTAGAGTTGAAGTGACACAGCAGTGGCCTTGTCTTATCTGCAGGCCTGTCTGTGCGAACATTGAAAAATCTGACTTCTCTTGAAAAATATCAGATGGGAAGTCTTGGGTGTGAATGCCCACAGGGTAACAGATAGCCAGGACCAAGTGGGAGTTGTTCTCTTGAAGACTGAATCTAGTACTGGATCCAGTATTCTCTACTACTAGTCTCTGGGCTGACTCTAAATACCTGCCATTTTCTTTCTTCTTTTTTTTTTTTTCCAAAGGGAAAAAACAACTGTTCATGATTTATTTTTACACTAAAATTTTTTTCTTGCTATTTCATAAATATGCTTACTCAAACCAAATCAGCAAACTAATTACATCCACACCCTCAACTAAATAAATTTATGAAGGAATAGGGGGAAGACAGAATGGATATTAAAAATACCACTGTCCACTCTCCTCCCATTGTTCATCAATTTGCTTGAGCGGGCACCAGTAATGTCTCCATTGTGAGACTTGTTACTGTTTTTGGCATATTGAATACAGCACAGGGAACTTGCCAGGCTCTGCCGTGTGGGCGAGATACTCTCGTTAGCTTGTCAGGCTCTCCAAGAGGGACTGAGGAATCGAACCTGGGTTGGCAGCATGCAAGGCAAATGCCCTACCTGCTGTACTATCGCTCCAGCCCAACTGATATTAAAAATACCAGTTCCTAATATTGAGAGCATTCCTTCCTTCTTTCTCTCCCTTCCTTCATTTTCTTAGTCATCATTGCCTAATCTAAACTCTACTGTGTCCAAATACCAGAAGGCTTACATCCAGTCCTCTTCATTTTTATGGTGCCCACTTAACCTGGAATGCAATTTGGTAAAAGTCCTTTTGGGGAACAGGTAGAATCTAGTGGTCATACCTGTCCCTGTCCCTGCTTTCTTGTGCCTGGCTCAAGGCTGCAGAAACACAGGAAGACACAACCCTCCTGCCTATGGTTGTCACTATTGTCATTCCTATCCCTGTAACTTATTCATCACCAAATGGCTTTAGAGATGTGGCATTAATACTTCCCTGAGCCCCCAAATTCCTACACACACAGATACACATGCACACGATACTTCAGTCACAAAATCACAGGGATATACTGATGTCAAAGATTATGCCAAACTTCCCAGTACCTTCTGGGCCACATGTGAAACCCAAGAAAAGAAAGTTGTGGGCCACATTGGTTCCCAGGAACCCCCAAGGAGGAGGGAGGCCATGGTATGACTATGTGGATTCTCTGTTGTCCTGGTTTCCAAACCCCTTTGGCCAGCCAGAGTGTCTGGTACAGTGAGCCAGTTGGATTTCCATCAGTTTAATCTCATGAGACTCTTCAGGTCCCTCTCACTACCCACCTCTGGGCCATTCTATGCTTCGTGGCTGCCTCACCAAACAGCTAGGTGCCGTTAAAGAAAATTCTTTAACCCCATATTCACTCTTGAAGCAAGCTCAATTCCCAGCTTCAGAGGGCTTGTGAGAAACTTGCAGCATGGCTAGGCTCTCTGACAGTCTTCTGTGCTGATGGAGCAGGAGAGATATTGGAGGGGGCCTTTGCCTCCACTCACCCTTTCCCATCTTGCCTACAGAGGGCTGGTGGCTTATTTGGCAACCACGTCAGCTACTACCAAAGTGACAGCCGGAGCGCTTTCCCCCAGACCTTCACCACCCAGCGCCCGCTGCACATCAACAAGACGGGTAACACCCAAGGCGACACAGAGTCACCCTCCCACGAGAAGTTGGTGGACTCCACTTTCACTCCAAGCAGCTACTCATCAACCGGCTCCAACGCCAACATCAACAATGCCAACAACACTGCGCTGGGTCGCTTCCCCCGCCCTGCAGGCCGCCCTGGCATGCTCAGCACCGTGGAGGGCCATGGGTCCTCCTGGTCTCCTGCCATCCGGGTGCCGGAGGCAACATGGAAGCTCAGCTCCAAGAGGTAAGTAGGGATGCCGGCACATGTGGGGCTCCTTCCCTCACAGGAGACCCCTCAAACTGCAGCCTGAAGGGAATCACCAGGTGCAGAGAGTTTGGACCCCAATCTGGCCAGTTACCCTTCAGCTAGGAACCCAACGAGTGAGCAGGGTGCAAACTGCCTCCCAGGTCCCACTTGTAATGATAGATGGCAGCCACACTCAGGGGAAGGTCCACAGCCCCGCGGACAACAAGGTCCAAACCCCTAGACAGAACCTTCTCTGCTCACTCCTCCTCTCTGAGCAGATGGACCCCAGCCCTTGAGCCCTGAGGGGTCTGTATCCTGATGACAGAGCAGACCCTATCCCCTCTAGACTTTCCCCAGGTTCTTCCTCAACCTGGTCTTTCACACTAGTGGATTAAGAATGGTCTTGACTACCTCTTCCTCATGCCCTCTCACTTCCCAGGGCATTTAGGGGACATTGGGAACTCTTCCTTATAACCCTAACTGACTCCAGCCCAGTTCAAGACTGTGCCTGATGGTCTTTAACCTTCCCACTCACTCTACATTCTATTTTCTGGAGCTCTAGAGCACATTGTTAGGCTAGGAGAGTCTATTTTCTTACTGCCACCTAAGCACAGCAAGACCTTTGGCATCTTTTCACATTGATCTCAGCACTGGGCTCTGAAGCTGAATGTAGTGGAATGGTGTTATATGACAGGCAAATCTAAATGGCCGTCTGTCCCCCTGAGCTAACCGCAAGACAGCATTGGGCTGGTCCAACTCAGGACACCTCTACTAAAACCTTCAGTGTCCAGGCCAGTATGCTGTTCTGTATGGTGCTCAGAAAGGCTGGTTTTGTATAGGAGAATATCAGAGTTGTGATTGGTCACACCTGTCTTGGTGGCTCTTTCCTTGTCTGCAGTCCTCCTGCTCTACTACTGCCAAAGGCTGCTTTCTGCCCTGCTCTCCTTGTCTACGTGGATTCTTTCAAAAACTCTCTTTGTACCCATCATTAGCACCGCAGTGTATGCCTCTCCCCAAGGGCATTTTCATACTAAACTTTGTCGTAAGCGGAGAGTGATTTTTAGTGAGGACATAGGGAAAGGCATCAGGCATATTCTCCCTACAGACAAATGGAGTGATGCAATATTGTATCTTCCAAGCACCCAGCACAATGCCAGGTGCATAGTAGGTTCTCACTAGACAAGGGCTTCACACTGGGGGCAGTGGTGATGTGTGCACGTGTGGGAGAGAGGCAGAAATCACACCACAGGCAGAAAGCTTCGGCCTGGCAGCGAGGAGCAGCCTGATAGTCCAACAGAGAGGCTTTGGTCTTTACGTCCCAGCTCCACCTAAGGGTGATGGCCCCACCACTGACCTTGTTTCATCTGGATAAACCAACATGCCCGGGATACAGCAGCCACCCTTGCTATCCTCTTCCAGCGACCAACCCACAAACTGGAGTTTCCTGCTTGCCGCCATCATGCTTCCAGCTTATCTCCAGCCTGGCCCAAGCTCTTCCTACCCATGGGGAGCATTTCTGGTCTCCTTTATCCTTCCGGCTGTGCGTTGGGACCACCATCTTGTAGGTGGCCATTTCTGGGTGCTTCTCAGTCCTAGAGTGAGGCTGGAGCAGTGGTCTAGCCCCCAGTTCTGAAAGGGTAGACCAGATGCTTTCTTGATGCACTGAACATTCAGATGACCCAAAACTCAGTGGTTTGAGAAGAAGGATGTGCTGGGCTAGGAGAGTCTACTTTCTTACTGCCACCTAAGCACAGCAAGACCTTTGGCATCTGCCAAAGGAAACCCCATCTCAGACCAGGGGTTGAGAAGAAGAAGGATGGAGAAGGACAGCATGTTTGGCATGTGTGGGATTAAGAAGAGTTGATGGATACCAAATGCACCGAAGAGCGGGTCTGAGGGAAGCTTTGTAGTTCAAGGCCCAAGCTGGTGTGGGGATCTCTGATTCAAGAGGCACGCGGGTTCAAATGGGGTAGTGCCCCCTCTCTGCTTGGAATAGACCCTTCTCCGGGAGATTTCCTCTCTGTGCCTTTCCTCCCCGGACCCAGTGTCACTCTCAAACACATGTCAGAAGAGGAGAGCAGGAACTACTCAGCTCTGCCCAGCAAAGGTCTGATGGTTTGAGCTGTCTAGAGCAAAATTCTTAAACTTTTTCCCCTTGGGCCCCCTTTTTGGCCTGAGAAATTTTTACATGACCCTGGGTATAGGTGTATAAGTATGTCAAATAGGTATATAAATCAAACATTTGATCATAGATGATACATTTCTGTGGTTAGGTTTTTGTTTTGTATTTTGCGTTGATTTGGGGGCCACACTCAGTGGTGTTGAGGCTATTCTCATGGCTCTGTGCTCAGAGATCACTGCTGGTGGGTTTTGAGGGACCGGATACGGTGCCTGGGATTGAATCTGGGTCAACTGTTTGCAACGCAAGCACTTTTCCTGCTGTACTATCTCTCCAGTCCCACATCCATAAATAAAATTTTATATGGGGTCATGACCCACGATTGAAGGAGTTGGTTCTAGAGAGGAGGGGAACAAAGGCCCCCAGATTTCACCTTGCCCTGCCCAGAGCAAGTCCTGACAGTGCTTGTGGGACCCTATGTGTCCCTGTGGATCAAACAAGGGCAAAGCAAGCATCTTAACCCCTCTACTATCTCTCTGCTCCTGCACCCTTCCTCTGTGCTTCTTCGAAAGCAGATTCTTTCCACCTTCAGGGTTGCCTCAGGTTGTCACAACCAGATTCTATGTCAGGCAAAAACTGTTCTTCTAGTTATATAGGTGGAGGGACTGAGGCAGGGGAGGTGGACTGAGTGATCAGCACCAGACATATGTATTGGCATCAGAACTCATTTCCTTGGGTCCTAACCCTGAGGCCCTGGTCCCACGTAGAACCTGCACCACAGTCTTAATGCTTTTGTGGCTCAGCAGCTCCTTAGCGATTACTGGAGGGAGAGGCAGTGGATATGGTTGTGAGTGTATATGCCCGAGTCGGTGCCGTGTGTATGTGTCACACCTTTCTTGCTAAGAGCAGGTGAGAGGGCTGGTAGCGTCTGATGGTCTTCTATGCATCTGCAACTTTGTAGGTACCACTCCCGGGAGAGCCAGATAGCCATGGTGTGTCAGGAGGAGATGACTCGGGATGACACCTACAGCGTGAAGAGGAGGGAGGATGCTGAGGAGTACTGCAGTGAGCCCAGCCTGCTCTCCACAGAGATGTGAGCTCTGTAGCTTTCCATACCGAGCTACTCACATAGAAGGAAGGGTCTGACGGGTTGGGGCAGAGCCCTGAAATTTAACATATGGTCACAACCGGAGGACCAGGAGCAGATGACCTAACAGAGGAGTCCCCTGTGCAACATCTCCTACCCTCTCAGGGAAGACAGGAGCCCCCTACTTATCCCCACATACACACACAGATTCCAGGGGAGGTTGGAATGTAGGTTAGTGTAGGACACAACACACACAGCAGCACTTTCAAGAAGTCTTGACTACTGTAGTCATGAATGAGAGTGATAATATAGTGAGCAGGATGCTTATCTGGCACATGGCTCGACCAGGTTTTATCCCTGGCACCTCATACGGTTCCCAAGCCTTGCCAAGAGTGGCCCATGATCACAGAGCCAGGAGTAATTCCCGATCACCACTAGGTGTCACCCCTCAACCACCTCCCCACCAAAAATATTCAGTCATGAACGTGTTTGTTCATGGACAACAAGTTCGTTTCTTTGTAGTCTTTTGGTGTGTGTGAGGGGATACCCAATGGTGTAATAATGCCTGCTGTGCTACTCTGCAGTCTATTCATTTATTTTATAGTAAGACCTGATATATTACTTTAATTCATGAAACCACTTAAAATAGAACTGCCCGGCAGATGGCATTGTTGACAAGCAGTGACTGAGATTCCTGGCCATTAAAAATTAAAAAGGTAAAGGTAAAGGCCCTCCGGTTGATCATCGATTTGCTCGAGCGGGCCCAGTAACGTCTCCATTGGAGACTTTGTTGTTACTGTGTCTGGCATATCGAATACTCTCGGTAGCTTGCCGGGCTCTAATTAAAAAAGAAAAAAAAGTTTTGTTTTCTTTTTCTTTTAAGTTTAGAGCAGCACCTGGTAGTTCTCATGGGCTACTCCAGGCTTGGTTTTAGGGAATTACAACGGGCAGTACTAAGACTGTATGGTGCCAGGAATTGAATCCAGATTCTCAGTTTCCAAATCATGCCGGTTAGTCTCTTCAGGTATCTCTCCCTTTAGTTGGGGAGAAGTTTCACATTCCTCACTGCTCAGACTCCACTCCCAGCTCCACGCTCAGAGGATCAAGGGCTGGAATTTACAAAACCAGGGATTTTTTTTTTTTTTTGATGGGTGGCTCGGCGGAGCGATAGCACAGTGGTAGGGCATTTGCCTTGCGCACAGCCAGCCCGGCTGAGCTGGGTTTGATTCCTCCGCCCCTCTTGGAGAGCCCAGCAAGCTATCGAGAGTATATCGCCCACGCGGCAAAGCCTGGAAAGCTCCACATGGCGTATTTGATATGCCAAACACAGTAACAACAAGTCTCAAAATGGAGACGTTACTGGGCCTGTTCGAGCAAATCGATGAACAGTTTGGGTGGTTTGGCAGACAAACCTGGTGGTACTCAGAGCTTACTGAAGACTCTACTTGGGGATCATTTCTGATGGTACTTGGGAGACTATGTTTGGTCGTGGGGGATTCAACTGGGATTGGCCTTGTGCAAGGTAGGCACCACCACCCTGCACTATTCCTCTGCCTCCAATTGTAGTACCAGACTGTAATCTTCATGGAGAGACTTACCTCTAACTCTTTCAAAAGAGTAGCATAGCAAAGAATGAAACAGAATTGGACAGTAGACAGTGTGCCACATCACAAAAGCAAGGTCTATTTTGGAGAAACTTTGGTTTCACAAATTGCCCACATAGGTGTGTCTATACTAAATACATTTAGTCTCATGAAATACATTTATGACTGTGAGTTACACTCAAATATTTGAATAGGTGCATTTCAAGGGATTTCTTAAAAGCACTTTAGAATGAGGAAGGACTGACTTTCAGAAGGTGTTTGAAGCAAGGGAACCCATGGCTGGTAGGCCATCACATACCTCCGGGAACTGGCATGCAGTGCTTCCTCCCAGGAAACCATGCTGAAGGAGAAGGATCATCTCTTTAACCTGGGAGAGGTGGAAAACATGAGCAACAAAAAATAAGAATGATAAAAAACCTGGAACTAGTTGTCAAGATACCAGTTATCCGTCTAGACCTTCAGGTCCCCGTCAGTAAATTGGTAACATAGAGAGGTGACAGGTGTTCTACTGATTCGACCTAATGAAATATAGAAAATGTAATATCAAACGAAAAACCAGAATTTCCTTAAAAGAACATGCTAGAAGCTGAGTAGGTAGCTCAAAGGGCCAGAACACAGGTCTTGCCTGTATAAGGCCCCAAGTTCAATATCAGGCACTGTTTGGTCTCCCAAGCCCTGGTATGGCCCCAGGTGTATCACCGGAGGCCTGTCAGCCCCACTGGCTATGATAGGGCTGCTACCCTAATAGCTCCTGAGCGCTCCTGGCTTGCTCTTATGGCCCACAGCACCACTTGGACTGAAAAGCATTGCCTTGGCAGGCCTGATTACTGAAACAACGGCCCTGATTGACCACGTAGCATAGCAAAGAACGTAACAGAATTGGACAATAGACAGTGCTTTGCTATGAGACTGATTACTGGGAGTGGCACCCAGATCTTACAAGAATTGTTGGGAGCATTCCCCATAAATCCAAGAAAAAAATTCTCTAAATTGATGTTTTTAAAAACTAAAAATGAATACACAGCCACATAACTCAAAAAAATCAAATCTTTGATGCGTTTATCTTTTATTGAATGCTTAGTGTATCCAGGCGTGTGACTTGATTGGCTTGAGCTTCAGCAGACTGTAACAGATGAAAGGTACTGGGTCTTCAAGACTGAATGCTGTCTGGATAAGAAAATGGATTAAGGAGGGCTTACCAAGTTCAAGAGAATGTCAGTGCCCCAGAAATAGTCAGGACTTCATCTGTGAAATGAGGGCATTAAGATTTAGCCAGGCATTTAGGACTGCTGGCTTCACCCCGAAGGGATTAAGAAGTCAACTTGTGGGTTGCAACCAAAATTTTAAATAAAATAGAACATGTGAGGGTTTAACGGAAAATGTCAGGGTGCAAAGTGTGTCGTAAATGTAGGACACTCATGAAGCTTAGTCGGTGAGGTATGCCTCTGCTTATGCTGAATGTGTAAAATCCATCGTTCAGACTGAGGTCTCTTCACAAGGCTTTAGAATCCATTGACTTGAGGCCCTCTGAGATCCCTGACAGATCTGTAATCACTGATGGGTGGATGGATGCTTGTTGTAGGTCAGGATCTACATACGCTTGATGATTAAGGGGTGAGCAGGATGAGGGGAAATCAGGTTTAGGGATAAAGTTGGGTAAGTTGGAAGGGATCACGGCAAACAGCACCAGCATATGTAATCAGAGGAGCCCAGGCCATTCCTTTAAGAGCCTGTGGGCCAAGAATTCATTTCTAACTTTCTTGACAGCTTCGCCTAAGGGTGCTCCACTGCCTTAAATCAGAAATGCAGGCACCAGAGTGGACAGCCCATGTCAAAGGGCTGCACTCCCTCTGGGAGTCAGTGAACAGGGTCAAAATTTCCACTTCAATGGGAAGTCCTTCAGTCTGTTCTCCATACTTTTCTGGAAGCTCAAGACAAGATAGGGATGAGGGTGGGGGCTTCCTCACCTAAGAAAAAACAAAGGAGTCTATGTTCTGGGGGTTGGATGCGCCTTAGGGGCAGCACTTCTCAGCCACCAGGAGCAAGCCGTGTGAGTTCTCTGTTCCAGGCTGTCCTATCAAGATGATGAAAACCGACAACTGACACCCCCTGAGGAGGACAAGCGGGACATTCGGCAATCTCCAAAGAGAGGCTTCCTCCGTTCTGCCTCCCTAGGTAAACACATACACACACCCTCTCTGGAGGTGTCATCTCAGGTTCACCCCAGTGGGTACTGGAGTCGGAGAGGGAATGATTAAAAAATGTTTTCAGTCTTGCTCAATCAAGCCTGCGATGAGCAATTTTTCTGAAGCAACGGTACTGAATTGTAAGGGTAGAGTTCGTGGAGATGGGATGTGTGCAAATGCCCCATGGTAGGCTGCTGAGAAAAGTGGAAGAGAAAGCCGAGGTCTTTGGGAAACCTTGTCACTATTCCATAGGCCTTTTCCCACCCAACCACCCTCACCTCTGGGTAGAGCTGCCACAGACCATGCCCTTATTTCCTTCCTTTATCCCAGTTCTTTGGTTTCCCCTCTAGGTCGGAGGGCCTCTTTCCACCTGGAATGCCTGAAGCGACAGAAGAATCAAGGGGGGGACATCTCTCAAAAGACAGTCTTGCCCTTGCATTTGGTTCATCATCAGGTATCCTAACCAGCACTGTACTTTGGGTTTTCAATTTACTTTATTATTTTTATTAAGGCACTGTGGCACTGTGATTACAAAGTTGTTCAGGTACGCAGTGATTCAAAGTTTCAGGCACGCAGTGATTCAACAAAATCCCACCAGCAGTGTGCTCTTCTCTCCACCAGTGTCCCCAGATTCTTTTTCACCTCCCCAGTCTGCCTGCTGGGCAGGCACCTTCTTAAATTTCATGACTGTAGTAGGAGTCTCCTGGAGTGTCATTGGCTTCGCAGCACTGTGATTTTGGAGGGGCCACTGGCCACCACCTAGTGAACTAGAACCTGCAACTATGGACAAATCCCTTAATAGCAATCAGTCTTCCGGTCTCACACCATAAGGGTGGCAAGAGCCTTGGCAAAGTCGGTGTTTCCAGGGCAGAGGTCTAGGAAAGGCTAAGGAGCAGGAGCTGCTGACACGCCCGATTCTGTAGGACCCCTGGTCCTACAGTGCCAGGGATGTTCCCTTCCCTAGACACTGACTTACACAGCAGGGGTCCCAAGCCGGTGTAGTCGCACTAAAATTGGAGGACAAGTAGCAGCACAAATTCACCTACTGAAATGGAAAACGACTCTGCCAGCACCATGCCAATAAAGATAATGCCAAGGCAAAAACAGGTCCTGGAAGACTCAGCCCATGAGTTACCTCCTCACATGGCCAACTCCAGCTGAGCCTATATAGGCACCACTGTCTATACTTGCTACTCTTCTTATCTTGGAACTTTAAGAATGATTTAAGACTGCCTCCCAAGGGTCTACGCCAGAGTTTCCAATCTTTTGTGTCTCTTGTTACCAAAGATTTGTACTCTATGAAACTTTTTAATACCCAAAGGCATTCTCAATTAAAGTCAATTCAAGATGGGCAGTGTGGTCCTACTTGGTTGGTATTATTTCGGCTGAAAAAAATGCATTTTCATTAGCCATGGAACCTTGCCTATAATTTGTATTACGTGTGATTTCCACTGGACTTTTTGGAATATTGCACATTACCTTATACTTCCCTTCCAACCCCAGGAACCTAAAACTGAAACCATCAAGAGCAGCAAGTGGAGGGCACTAATAGACTGGGCGGTTTGGGGAGGCACTAAGTAAGCTGTTTTAAAGGGTTTCTATGTAATCAATGGCTGAATAAATAGCAGTCCTCCTACATTTAAAAAAACAAGGGTTTCTATAAGTCTATTTCTTAGACAAGAAAACAAAAGATTCTTCCCTGCCGTGATACAGCCCTCCACCACATGCGGTTATGTTCCCCCTATCTCTGCTTCCTAACCTGGACCTCCCCACTACACACAATCTCTTTTGTGTGGGTGCCCCTTTATTAGGCTCAGTCATTAAGACTGTTTGAACGGGACAAGGACCAGTCCTTAGGATGCTCAAGTCTAGCTGTTGACAGAGGACACAAGCTTATAAACTGTTGTTACTAGACATGGACAGTGTCCAGTTTGAATAATGGTTCAAAGGCCAGAAGAGCTAGGGTTGAACAGGAAAGTATTAGCTGGTCTTAGCCCTTGTCAGAGAGAGAACAAGAAAGTATACTGGCTTTTTCTCCTCATTATGATGCACTGTATACTTCTTGAGAGAAGTATACAGTGTCCCTCCCTTATTTCACTGAAACTAGATAGAGGGTGTTAGTGTTTGGCCTTACATGTGGTACAACCATCGTTTCCTCTGGTCTAATGAGGAGAAAACCAAGAGCAAGAGCATTCACAGGTAAAAGGTGTCTGGGGCAAAAAAACAGGTCACTTGGTTCTACTCCTGCACCGTTTCTGCCTGTGGAGGAGGAAGAGATCACTTCCGAGGGCAGGGGTCACAAAACATATTTTAGAACAATGGAAACATACATGGGGTTTGATGAGTTCAGATTCAAATGGGTCAAAGTGAGGCGGAGGGGAGGAGGACCAGCTTAAAACAACAGCTACGAGAGGCAGAGGCTCACCGCTGCAGCCCCGGTGACTCATGCTCTTGTGTGTCTGCAGGCGCTGGCAGTGGCAGGCCTGAGCCCCCTCCTCCAGAGAAGCCATCCCCCCACCTCATTGCCCAGGCCCTGTGCCACCCCTCCTGCCACCTCTGGAAGCCGAGGATGGCCCCCACAGCCCATCCCCACCCTGAGGCTGGAGGGGGCCGAGTCCACAGAGAAACTCAACAGCAGTTACCCATCCGTCCACTGCAGCTCCTGGGCTGAGGAGCCCACTCCCTGCAGTGGGGACGGCAGCATCCGGAGAACCCGGCCTGTGTCCCTCACTGTGCCCAGCCCGGCCGGGGCCCCAGGAAGGCAGTTCCATGGCAGTGCCAGCAGTCTGGTTGAAGCGGTGAGTGAACCCTGGATTGTGAAGGCCGGTCGGGTAGAGGAGTGGGGTACAGCCAGGGAACTCTGTAGAGAGTTGAGGAGGGAAGAGCTGGTTCTTCCCAAGTGGATTAGATGCTGGTGACAGAGCCAGGAGACCGTCACTCTCCAGACCTGCTGGAGGAGGGTGTGGATGCAGAAGGTTAAGACCAAACCCAAGCACAAAAATTTACAAGTCTATAACTGTACCTCATGGTGTTTCACTAATAAAAAAAAAAGACCAAGTTGGACGCTAGTGTTTTTATGAGTACTGGACTTCCTCCAGAGGAGGAGAGAAACCTCCATGCAGATATCCCTACCATGGCCCAGGGAGCCCTGGAGATTGCTCATCCTCCTTCGGGTGAGCAGAGGGTTCTGTAACTGCCCCAGGTTACACAGAAGCTTGGGCTGCAGTTGCACATACAAAAATCCACATCTATGTCTCTCTAGCCTATTTGCATGAGAAATAATCCAGGCCTATTTGGAAAACTAGAACCAACTAAGGGAGTGGTTTTTCTTGTAGTTTTTTTTTTCCTGTTTTTTTTTCTTTTTCTTTTTAAAAACTCAAGTGGGTCTTGTTTTTAAGACTTATGAATGTCTAAGCACATAGACAGGGTTGAGATTTTCACATCTGGAATAAGAGTGTTGTCTACTCTTCTATATGCCACTGTCCTGCCCTGGAACTCCATTTTACGGGACTTGGGAAACTATTCCAAAGTAGGACTAAGGTGCCTGGAAGCAATTCTTTACAACTGGTTGAGGTAACTAGGGACCTTGGAGAGAAGATGACTTAAGAGGCAGTGGCATGATGTCAGTCTTGGAAGGACCCTGGTGTCCTTGAGGGTATCTTTTCTTCTGTTTTGTTTTTAGACTACACTCAGCTGTGCTCAGAACTTAGTCCTGGATCTGTACTCAGGAATCATTCCTGGCGAGTTTGGGGGAAATATATGGGGTTCTGGGATAAATCCCAGTTGGCAACATGCAAGGAAAATGCACTACCCACTGCACTGAGACCCCAACCTTCCCCCAGGAAGGGGTCTTGAATGCAAAACTGGAGTAACAATAGCCTGGCATCAGGCAGAGCTCAGCTCTTCTGGAAAATCCTTTCTAATAAGAGGAGAGCTTCCCTACAAAGGAGTGAGCCCCCATTACTGCCTTGTACCACGAGCTCTTGCCCCTCCAGTCAGCAGGCTGTCATGTGGGAGGCAACCCAGAGAGGCCTTCTGACTTGAAGGCATATCTGGTTTCACTGAGCCTTAGTGATCCCTCCAGAGTTTATGGAACAAAGAGAACATCTCAAGGTGCTGAGGGAAATGTCTGCTCTACTGAGCACACATGGCAGTGAGGAGATGACTAATCATAGACAATGACTAATCATGGAGGACAAAGGGTGAGAGCCATGAAGAAAAGTCAACCAGGAGAAGAAGATAGGATACTGGGGAAAGGGGAGCTAGATGAAGGACTAGGAGAAAACAAAGTGCTCTGGGTGCCTAGCCCTTGGGTGAAGCCTACCCCTACCCCTGAGTTCAGTAGCACAAAGTAACTCCTGGGTTGAAGAGAGAAGCTTAGGGTTGGTCTTCTGGGTCTTTGCAGCAGAAACAGAGGCCAGAACTTGCTGCACTGGGCACACAGCCTGTTCTAGGAGTCTTAGCAGAAGAGAGACAACAGTTGGCACAGAGCTGTGGCCTGGCTCAGCTGTTACACCCAAGAGGAGCAGAGGTTCTTAGAAAGAACATGTGGGAGTGACTGGGGGTGCCAAGGAGAAGGAAAGACAAAGGCAAGCTCTGTCCTGCCCTTATACAGCCCATCAGCACCCTGAGGCTCCTGTGTGACCCCAGTTGCCATGATCGAAGGTTTGAGGACTCCAGCCCCAAATTCTTCCCTGTTAACTATTCATTCCTGCTCACGCCCGGCCTCCAATCCACTAGTCCCTGATTTCTTTGTTCCTTTGAGTGATGCCCCATCTCTCTTCATCTCTCTCTCCCAGACACAGGCATGCACACACATGTGCACCCACTTCCTGAAATTACCCTCAGCAGAGGGGTGGGGGTGAGGGGTGGGGAGAGGGAGAGAGAGAGAGAGAGAGAGAGAGAGATTTAGAAATAACATTTCTCTTTGTTTCTTCTTCTTCGTCACCCTCTGTCTACCCGTCCCCAGGTTTTGATTTCAGAAGGACTGGGGCAGTTTGCTCAAGATCCCAAGTTTATCGAGGTGACAACCCAAGAGCTGGCTTACGCCTGCGACATGACAATAGAGGAGATGGAAAATGCGGCTGACAACATCCTCAGCGGGGGCGCCCAGCAGAGCCCCAACGGCACCCTGCTGCCTTTTATCAACTGCAGGGACCCTGGGCAGGATGGAGCAGAGGGCGGGGAGGGTGAGCCCCACGTGCCCGGCCTGGAGTGTCGCAAGAGTGAGGAGGAATTCCAGGACAGCAGAGCCTACATCAGCAGCCTGTAGTAGCCAGGGCTGGGCAGATGCTGGGATTTTTCTTTGTTTCAATGTTCCTAATGGGTTCGTTTCAGAAGTGCCTCACTGTTCTCGTGACCTGGAGTTAACCGGAACAGCGTCTTCATTCATTTCGTTGGGACAAGACGCAGAGTTGGGTGGTGCGGAGAGTCAGCTTTTCAGGGGGCGAGGAAAGCAGCGACCCCAGTGTGGCCCACGGAGGTAGAGTGGTGAGGAGGAGGTGGAAGAGCCGGGAAGGGCGAGCCCAGGAGAAACATGCACCCTCCCCGCTCCATGCCAGGCCCTGCAGGAGCCCGCCGTCGCCTGGGTGCAGCTCAACACGCACGGTAGCCCTCACTAAAGGACCCAATGCCAGACGGGTGTCTTTCAACTTTGCTTGTTAAAAAAAAAAGTCATTTTGCACATAATCTGTATGAGCCTCACTGTCTCTTTAGAGCCAGGGTCCTGTGGATTTGCAGAGGGAAGTGGGGGCAGGACTCCAGGGAGGACTCCAGGGAGGACCCAGCTCCGACAGGGAGCCAGGTGAGGGCTTTGCACGCGGGCTTCCAACTCCCCCACCCGCATCGAGATCACCTTCTCGCACTGGTCACGGTGGGCCCTGGCTCACTCCGGGAAGTGGGCTCTGCACTCCAGGGAGGAGCCAGCTGCCGGCTCTTGGCAAAACCAGGTGGTGCTGAGCTTCCGTTGAGCGAGCGCTCTTGGGTTTGGTGGTCTGACATTTTTCTTGATTGCATGTTGCTGTTTTGGGTTTTTTGGGGTTTTTTTTTTCATCTGTTTTCCCAGGGGAGGGAAGGAAGAAGCGTGTTTACAAAGTTCTGTTGCTGCCCACCTTACTGTTTTCACTTTTGCAAATGTAAATCAGGTTTGGTTTTACTGTATTATTTAAATCTTTCTTTCTTTCCTTTTTTTTCTGCATCAGTTTCAATAGAGCTGCTGTAGGAGAGTTTTGCCCACCATTGTGTATGCCCAATAATTTGATATTATTTTCTTAGGTAGTAACAATAACAAACATTTTGGGGGTTTTGGTTTGGTTTTGAAAGATAAAGGTCAGCATCAGTGCTCCTTCAGTGGTCATATATGTCGGGGACCGAGTTGGGTTTTAATGCTGGGTGTATGGGGGGGTGCTGTGGAGAAGAAGCAGGTGTCTGTGAGTGAGTGTGGCGGGGGGCCTGTGTTTGATATGTGTGTGTACCCATGCAGTGCACCCCTGCACAGTACACAGCCTCCCCTCTCTGAGTGAATTTGGGGGAGATGGGAATATAGGGCCATCTGAAAGCAAAAACAAACCACTGTCTCTGCTTCTGAAACAGGAATCAATAATTCTTTGCATTTTCTGTCCCACAAGATATGCAAAAACAATGCAATAATATTCATTTAAAAATACAATTGTGAGTTGTGTTGGCATTAAAACTGTATTTAAGAACACACACAGAGAAATTTAAAGAAAAATCTCAAGAAGGCAGTTTGCTTCGATTTATTCGTGTAATGTTTTATTGCATTGATAATGTTTCTGTTGAAGAAACTGTTATACTTGAATTCAGGTCAGTTTCAGTATTTTACAAATATTTTTTTAAAACTGAATTGCGATTGTGCCAAGCGAATAATAATGAATTGAATTAAGTTTGTTTTTTGAAGTCACTTCTTGTATATTTTGCTGCATGTAAGTAAATCATTTTGTATTTGGAGTGTGACAAGCTTTACCTTTGAACTCTGAAGTGCTTTTCTACATGTGGTTGGGGGAAAGGGAACATTTTTCCTCTCGTACAATGAGCAAAGGTATCACCAGTGTAAATCATTATCCTGCTGTCCACAAACAGGTCCGGACATTACTGTTTTGCATATCTTGTGTTCTCTTCCATTTCCCGTGGGTTTTCCAAAACCCCACGATAGGTTTTGTTTGACGCTTTCTATCGTTTTGAGAGATTGAAACGTGCCTCTCACTGTTTACACTCTCTCCACTTGGCTCCCATCTGGTTTGGAACCTCTGTCAGCAGAGCCCTTCACTATGAATTTTGAGGCATGGGAGCAACTTCCTTCATCACCCACTGCCCTTGGCATGCCTACAGAGGAGGCAGTTGACTTCACTGTTCACTCCCACCGTACACGCTTCTCAGTCCTTTACACAGGAAAGTGTGGTCGAATGAGAGGCTGGCTTTAGAACCGGGCTGATGTAGAAAGGAAAAGGAATCCTGACTTCTGGCAACTGCTTTCCCCAATATCAGGCAATCAAGCGAAGTATGAATCCATCAAAGGTCAACCTGTCCCTTCCCCATTCTTTCTTAAGACCTCTGCAGACCCCTGCAGACCCCAAAATGTATGGCAGCTGCGGGCAGAGCAGGCAAGCTAAGATGCATCAGGAGTACGCAGAGCTGGTGGCTACAGTTCCACGGTAGGCCTTTTCGTGTCAACCTGAAACATGACCGTATAGGAGCTGTATTCTTCTTGTTGATTGCAGCAATGTGACCAACAAAGGACTGGTCTGGGGAGAAATGGGATCCAATCAGCCATCCAGAATGTATTCATGAAATCTCCTTCTGTCCCAGAGTTCTGTCAGCCCTTCTTGGCACTTAGATGAGCAACCTAGAAACTAAAATTCCTCAAAGAGAGATGCGTTTCACTTTTAAGAACTGACTCACCCAAAGGTGGATAAACCTGCTGAATACACGCAGGCTAAGTTGTAGTCCAGTGACACAGGAGTTTCTTTCTGTTTCCTAACCCTCACACATTCAGATATTCTTGGTTCCTTATAGAGCCATCACGGTCTTCTAGAAACTCATTTTAGATGGTATCCTTCATTGCTTTCTCAAATTGCCACTGTGAGTCCAAGAGTTTCATCAGGAAAACGAAGTCCTTTTTGGATTGGAAACTGGTTCTTGCTGCACATTGCCTTCTGAACAGAAATTTGAAATCAAAATGAAACACACACACACACACACACACACACACACACACACACACACTTTTCATATTGCTCTTGTTTTCCCTTTAGATATTTCGCCTGCTTGCAAAAATCTCACTGGCAAGTGACATAGGCTCATACCAATAACTTCCAAAGTGCGACCAACAAACTAATCCCTTACCTGCAACTAGTCACACATACAGGCACCTTCTTTATGGTTAATATTGTCAAGACTTCCTACTGGTACCCTACAAGAATTGCATCTGCCATGACAAAGGCACTTTGTCTCTCACTACTGTGAGTAAAGGAACTCAGATGGAATTTCCCTGTCTAAGATGATGGGTGAGTCATAGCCTGCCTCATTATTGAGATACCAGCCATAGGGACAGACTAGAAAATCCATGGTAAAATTGATAACGCACATCCACAATATACTAAATGATATTTTATACAAAGAAATTAAAATAACTCTTTCCCCATGACCTTGTAAGATATAATGGTTAAATCTAAATGGTCCTGAGTGAGGAAGAATAGTAACCAGCGGCTAAGGACCAGAGAATCTTGAACAGTTTGTTTTGTACCTAAGTTTTATTGTCCTCTAGGCCGTATTTTTGGATTTCCACATATTTATCTCTTAATTATTCATGCGCATAGTTGCACTGAGCAGAGAGACTTCAGTTGTCTCTTTCCTTCAGTTTTTGGGGATTTTATAAAAGGTCACTTCTACTCAGATTTTTTTTATTTGACTCATTGATTTCTCTCTGCCTTGCATCAGAAACTCAACCTTCATTTTCTTAATCTGTTGGGTTCAAGTTAGACTGGGAAATCTAAAATAATAATGCTATTTTTTTTTATCTTTGCTGTTCCTCTGTATTCCCAGTTCCACATTTTAAGGGTCTGTCTGGAGAAAAGATGTCTGCCACTTTCTCACAACCATTCTCCTGTGAGAAGTTCTAATCATTTAACTAAAGATGGGCAACTGTGAATGTACCTTCCAATGCCAAAACAGTAACTTTGTAGGAAACAAAATCACCTTGAAAATGAGAATTTTCATTAGAAGGATAATTATTGATTTCTAGAGTATTTTTTTCTGGATGGTTGCCTTCTAATAAGGTCAGAAGAAATATGGCAAGAACTGAGATTGGGCATAGGAAAAAAACTGGTAATTAGGGTATATAATCAAGACTCACTAAGAAGAATGATGGCATCCCTGTCTCTGGAGACAGAGAACAATTGGATATCATTGTCTAAGAAACAGGTTAGCTAATGCTACAAGGAAAAGGCAATCTGCTTCCCCAAACACACACACACACCCAAACCCTAGTCTCTTCAAGCATGTTTTTATAGATCCCAAGCCAATTCTGGTTTAGCTTATCTATTTGCTGGTGGGCCTACAACTTTGTCCATGCAACATATGGGCTCTATTTTTTCAAAGAAAATATTGCCTCGTCTGTCAGCTCAGATTGAGAAGGGAAATTGAGACCCATGAAAGGGCATCTTTGATCTCCCTGTGGAAAGAAGTATATAGTTCAACCACTTTCAAAAACCTGGTGTCAAAAAGATAGTAGAGTTGGTAAGGTACTTATTTGAGTGTATGTAGCTGAGCCTATTTAATCCCTGGCATCAGATATTGTCCCCCAAGCACCACCAGGAGTGATCTCTGAACACAACCAGAAATAAGTCCTGATAGCACCAGTGTAGACCCCACACAAACAAACAAACAAACAAACAACCCCCCCTCCAAAAAAAAAACAGATCTACTTCAGAATAGGAGAAAATGAAATCTTGAATTGACCTTGTTTCCTCATCCAAGTCAACCTTTATCTAACTGTAGAGGTGTCTGTCACCCTGCCTCCTCTCTTTGCTCTGTTTCTTCCCTTATGTGCCACCTGAGACAGGCTCCAGTCAGAGGGTAAAAGAGGAGGTCGTTATCTCTCTCTCAGTCATCTAGGCCAGGATCTCTGGCAGCACCAAGTGATGAAGCAGAATGGAAAGGGGAAGGGAGGCAGTATCCTACCATTTTGAAGATGGCCTCTTTCCTGGTCCCAGGTTCCCCTTATCCCACAGTCCAGTGAAAGGGTTGAAGAATAAAAAGGAATCCCATATGCAGATTCTCATAAACTTTCCTCATGAAACCATTTATGGCTTTAATGTTATTTATTTTTATAGAAAAGCAATGAAGAGTCAGAAACCAATAAATAACAACCTTTTGTCATATTTTCAAATTTGGGGAGACATTTGGATACCAAATATGCACACACAGAGACACTACATGTGTTTACACACAATTGCTCATTCATGAGAAAACTCTTCACTAAGTGTGTGATAAGAAAAATACTCTCCGTGAAAAATGTTACAGAAATAGGGAAAATAATTTCTGTATGAGGAAGTACAGAAATATCCAGAATGGTTTCTGATCACAATTGGCTTGGAAAACTCTCTTGTTTGTGGAGCTTTTAAGACTGTCAAGAGAGGAGTGGGGAGAAAACAAGGAGACTCCAGGCTCAGAGAGGATTATTGTTCAAGGAGCCCAAAGGCTGCAGATTTCAGACTCTTGGCATAAAGTCTGTCCTGAGCTGCAATCAGTAGGAGAAGAGAAGAGAGGTTTCCTTTTTTAACGTCACATGAGAAACACTAGAGGATAGGTCACTGGGCTCTGTAACCAAAACCCACCTTCCCCCCACACCCCCCAAAAAACCTTCCCAACACAGAGAAACCACAATGAGCTTTAAAGGGAAAAAGCAACATGAAGCAATGAAAAGCAGATGGTTTATCAACAAGCACTGCTGTGCGAAGGGCTGCTTCAGAAGGCGAGCCAATGACCACGCTAGGGCCACCGTTCTGCTTGTCTCCACGCCCTAGCCGTGCATCTAGCTGCTTTCCACTGCCCCACACTTGGGTCTGTCGCTTGACTTTTCAGTCAAATTAGACATCGCCTCTAGCTGTTTTCTGCCATACCCAGACACCATGGTTCTCCCAGAGACCTGTTGAAATGAGGTTTAGTATGGAAAAGACCGGAAGGCCACACCTGAGCAGCAGGTTTGGACAGGATTGTGAAGGAGCAGTTGAGAAGAACCTGTGAAAAACACACAGGCTATCAAGAAGTAGGGTAGCAGGTCACTGGCCAGGAAAGTATTGGGATGCCTGTTAGACTCGCGAGTTTTCTGTTTCATTTCAATATGCCAGACGTACCCTCTAAGCAAGACTTACCTCCAAGTAAGTGGCTCCAGGTAAAGTCCCCCTCTCTCTCCTCTGCTCACCTCCTCCTGCTCAGGCTCACCGCCACACTCCAAGCCAACCTGTATCACGTGTTCCCAGAGAGATGCGGAATGACAGAACCAGGCCTCTGTTGTCACCCCAATGCCTGCACCGTGCCCCCCCCCCACACTGAACCCTTCTACCGTCCCCTCCAGGCTCCACGACTTCACAGTCTTACTGTTGTAGATATTGTTGTACAGTTTGTAATCATCCAATAATCTGTGGTCAAAGGCCTTGCCTGCTACGCCTTCTCACTCTTGAGAAAGGCCAGGGAATCTAGAAGGGGCAACCTTTCAAGAAGAGCTTCAGGGTCATCTCTGTGTGAGACGCTATGTATATTCCTGTAAGATTGCATTTTTATCTAAGGAATGATGTTATTTAAAAAACAAACAAAAAAACAAAAAATAAGAATTGCAAATAAATTTCTTAACAATGTCTACATTGGCTCCATTTTATCTTCTATCTTTCCTAGTCCCTTTTTTTTCTCTTGTTTTGTAGAGGTCACAAAAATATAACTAATTCTCAAAT